AAAAAAAAAAAAATTAGTATTCAGCTCTACTGTAAAACTAATTTATAAGCACCTACACTTCCATACGAAAGCTATAATCCAAGATGAAGGGGAAAGAGGAGAGGGAGGGGCGGAGGCTGGGTGGAGGGAGGGTAACTCGTGGGACCACATCTACGGTGCATCTTACAAGGGTACAGGTTAAATCTACTAAGGGCAGAATATAAATACCTTAACACAAAACAAAGAAAATGCGGTGAAGGCTATGTTAACCAGTTTGATGAAAGTATTTCAAATTGTATATAAACCAGCACATTGTACCTCATAATTGCATTAATGTACACAGCTATGATTTAATAAAAAAATTAATCCGATACCCAAACTAGAGGAAGATGTGATAAGGAAACTACAGAACTCATTGCTCATGAACATAAACACAAAATTCCTAGCAGAACATAAAAAACAAAATGTTAGCAAACTGAATCCAGCAATATATACAAAAGAAAATATACCATAACCAACTGGTTATGATCCCAGGAATGGATCCCAGGAATGCAGGGTTGATTTAACACTTGAAAATCAATCAATGCAATTTACTCTATTAACAAAGTAAATGAGAAAACCATATGACCACATCAATGCGAAGGAAGTATTTGGCCAAATTCAACAGGCACTCATGATAAAAATTCCCAACAAGCCAGGAAGAAAAGGAAGCTTCCTCTGGGAAAAGGACATCTACAGAAAATCCACAGTTTAATGGTGAAAGACTGGATGCCTTCCTCCTAAGATGAGAACAAGTATGCCTCATCTCACTGTTCCTATTTAACTAACACTTAACTAGAGATCCTTATAAGAAAAAGGAAAAACACAAAGAACAGGACACGGATTAAAAAGGGGAAAACAAAAACCATCTTCACTTGTAGGTAACACAATGTATATAGAAAATTCTGGGGATTCCAGACCAGAGCTACTGTAAGTACTAAGTTTAAAAAGGTTGCAGAATATAATACCCTCATACAAAAATCAGTTGTATTACTATATAGTAGCAAGGAACAATTTAAAATTGAAATAAGAAAAAGTACCATTTTTAGTAACATCTAAAATGAAGGAATAATTAGGGGTCTATTTAATAAAATATCTTCCAAGACCCGTACATGGAAAACTATATATATCACTGAGAGAATAAAAAATCCCTAAATAATCGGAGGGCTATATTTTAATAATAAATTAAAATATTCTTTGTTAAGGTGTCAGTTCTCCCAAATTGATACATAGATTAGGTGCAATCCTAATCAAAACCCCAATAGGTTTTTCTGTAGATATTGACAAGATGATTTGAAAATGTATATGGAAAAGCAAAGAACTGATGATATTTAAAGCCATTTTGAAAGTGAAGACCACACAGTAGGAGGATTACATCGCCTGGTTTCACGGCTGACTATATAGACACATTAATGAGGATAGTACAGGATTAGCATAAACACAGACATAAAGATCACTGGAATAGAACAGAGTCCAGAAATAGATCTACACATTATATAGACAGTGGATTTTCAACAAAGGTGACATGATAATTCAATGGGCAGAAAGAAATATCTCTTCAAACTGTTGGAACTGGTTGTCTATATGGAAAAAAATGAACTTCGACTCTTATTGTACATAATACACAGAATTTAACTTGAAATACATCATAGGCCTAAAACAGCGGTTCTCAACCTGTGGGTCATGACCTCTTTGGGGGGTCTCCTGCATATCAGATATTTACATTACAATTCATAACGGTAGCAAAATTACCGTTATGAAGTAGCAATGAAAATAATCTTATGATTGGGGGTCACCACAACATGAGTAGCTGTATTAAAGGGTCACGGCATTAAGAAGGTTGAGAACCACTGGGCTAAAAGCTAACATGATGAACCTCTTTGAGAATATCTTTGTAAACTTGGGATTGGCAAAGCTCTGGTATATGAGATACAAAGAAGCATGAAGCAAGTAAGAAAATTATAAACTGGACTTCATCACGATGAATAACATATCTTTTAAAGACACCATTAAGAAAATGAAAAGCAAGTCACAGACTAGGAGAAATTATTCCCCAAAAATATATCCGACAAAAGACTTATATCCAAAACATATAAAGAGTTCTTACAACTCAATAATACTAAAATAATTAAACATCAGGGAAAAGATTTGAAAGGCACATTTAACAAAGGAAGATACATGAATGCCCAGTGAGTATATAAAAAGATGATCAAAATTATGGTTTACAAGGAATTGTAGCTTAAAACCACAATGAGATATCAATATATGAGCATTATAATGAATGACATTAAAAAGACTGACAAGGATGTTGGCAGGGATGTGGAACATCTGGACCTCTCCTACAGTGCTCGTGGGGAGGTAAATATTACCGCCACTTTGGAAAACAGTCCGACAGTCTCTTAGGAAGTAAAATAATGTTTGTCATACACCTCTCTTCCCAACAGAGGGAAAGCAGAGATCCACAAAAAGACTCACATAGGAGTGTTCATAACGGACTTATGCGTCACAGCCCGAAGTGAAAACAAATCTCCACCAAAGGTAAATGGGAAAACAAATCACAGTGTAGTCACATGACGGACTACCACACAACAGTAAAAAGGAACAAATTACTGAAACATGCAACAACACAATTAATTCTCAAAAATGCCACCAAGCAAAAGAAGCCAACCCTCAACACACACTATGATGAGTCCCTGTATATGAACATCTGGAGCAGACGGACATAATCTGTAGTCACAGAAAGCAGATGGGCGACTTCCTGGGGTTGCAGGGCAGAAGGGCAACTAGGAAGGGCACAAAGAGGCCTTCTGGGAAGGTAGAAATATTCTAGACCTTGACTGGGGCAGTGGTGCATGGGCAGGGACACTGGTCAAAGTATTTGTACACTTAAAATGGATGCATTTTAGCTTATGGAGACTCACATACTTCCATCAAACTGATTTTTTATTTTCATATTTTTATTTCTTTGAGACAGAGTCTCACTCTGTAGCCCTTAGAGAGTGCTGTGATGACAAGAGAAAAAGGTCTGTACATCTTCAGTACAGAGGTATACATATGCTATTTTTTTCTAAATATTTTTGATCTGTAGTTAGTTGACTCCATGGATGTTGGAGCAACCTCCAACTCTTGGGCTTAAGCGATTTTCTTGCCTCGGCCTCCCGAGTAGCTGGGACTACAGGCGCCTGCTATAATGCCCGGCTATTTTTTGTTGCAGTTTGGCTGGGGCCAAGTTGGAACCCACTACCCTCTGTATATGGGGCTGGCGCCCTACTTGCTGAGCCACAGGCACCACCCCAAACTGATTTCTTAAAACGGCACAAAAGACTGAGATGCTGTGGTGTGTATGTGTCCCCGGTTGCTGCTTATGAGGCAAAGGGGACTTTAGCTTTCTCTGAAACATTCTAATGTTGCAAAAGGGAGAGGGAATTTGTAGGTTACATATGAAATGAAATTTAACAACATGTCTTAGAGACCTTTCTGAGCCAGTTTATGGAGAAATACCTTCATTCCTTTTTTTTT